TCGGTCACATTCTGGACGAGGATCCGTCGCCTGACGGCGCTGTATTAGTCAATGCTGCCTACTTCAAGGATTCTTGGCTGGCCAAATTTAACCCTCAGCTAACTAGGCCTATGAAATTTGAACTGCCGGATGGTGGGTCGAAGTTGGTTCCAATGATGGTGGCCGAGAGCAAGGAAAAGAAAGGAGGCATGAAGATCTTTGACTATTACTCTGATGGTGATGTCCAGGTCGTGTCTATCCCCTACACTCACCCTGAGTACTCGGCTATTATTGTATTGCCTAGTACAGCAAACAAGCGTCTTGTCCTCGACGTGAGTTCCTATGAGTCGTGGCTGTCTGGAATGAAACGGACGCCCGGCGTGCTGATGATGCCCAAATTCGAAGCCGAGTATGGTGTGAAGGACCTGACCGGCATCCTAGCGGAAGGAGGTCTGCAGCTGTCGGGTGACTATTCTGGCATGTCTGATGGTCCCTTGCAAATCAGCAACGTCTTCCACAAGGCTGTTCTTAAGGTGAATGAGGAGGGAACTGAAGGCTCCGCAGCTACAGCTATGGTCATGAACCGTGCCTTCGTGATGCCACCGCCGAATTCGTTCGAGATGGTAGTCAACAGATCGTTTTTCTTCATTGTTAAGCACAACCCTACCGGGCGTATAGCATTCTTCAGTCGCATCAACGATCCATCCAGTGCCGATGACGAGAAGTGCCATTGAGGTTCAACGTGGCATATGTGATGTAAGGTTCCCTCCTGTAGAGCTCTCGCTGCGCTGCGATTGCGACGATGTACGGGAAGGGATCTATTGTGACCATCACAAGGTCTCTGAATACCGGTAATGATTACCGACTCTGAGTAAACTGTTACAACTGACTATTTGAGCGTTTATATAAGCTTGAATACCCTTCCTTGAGTTTCAGTGTCACAATGGGAGTTGTTCGTTGTTAGCCTATTCGTTCCCAATGGCTCAGTACGGTCGCTCTGAGTACTGGAATGAGCGCTACACTCGTGATCCCGAGCCGTTCGACTGGTACCAGCGTTGGGCAGGCCTCAAAGATGTGAGAGAAATCTTCGTTGTAGTGATATGACGTGACTGTTGAATTTTCAGGTCGT